TGCATTTCTTTTTATTTTCTTTCTGCTTTTGTACGTTGGGGAAGCCACCCCTCCGGGTTTGATCAGTTCTCATTTACAGAAGGGGCAAGCCGACATTGATTTTGTCCCATGGTTTTGTAATACCCATTTGCATTTTTCTCCATGCAAATTGCTAGAAGAGGGAACTTTTCCAGGCGACAGGTTTTGCTTTGGATTGGTCGGAAGTTGTTGTATTTGTTACAAATGAGAAGACAAAAGGGGCAATCTACACACATTTTCTTATTTAGAAATGGGGTTTCTTCTCTTTCTTTAGCTAAACAAAGGGATAGTACTGAATTTTAATTTGTGTGCATTTGTTAAACAACCATTATGTTTTGGGGAAAATGGAGTGCAAAGTTGTTAAATTTTTAAGATAAATATTCAAACTAAAATCAATTGATCATAAATAAAATGGCTCTTGTTATATTATGAGTTCAAGATACTAACTCGATAGATATGAGATATATTTATCATCGTTTTAATACTTCTTATCACACGTAGAGACAATCGACTTAACATGTGATAATTTGTTATAAAAGGGACAATAATAAAAAACAACACATGTTTTAATATCATGTTAAATTTTTAAGATAAATATTCAATTTTAAATCAATCAACAATACATAAAGTGACTCTATTTTACTTATTTACTTAAAATACTTTAACTTAACAGATACGAGATTTATTTACTATCGTTCTAATATAAGTGAAGAAGTGAAAAGAAGAGGAAGAGAAAGAAGATGGATGATTGTTAAAGATGAATGGTTTCCTTATAATTGGGAGGGATGACAAAAATTGAGTTTGTGAGGAAATTGAGGAGAGAATTAGAAAATCTCATATTCCATTAAATTCCCTGTGTTTTCATCTTGTGACTCTCCAGAAACAATGGGAAGCACCTTACCCTTCTTTCATTACCTAACAACTGCATTGTGGGCTACCCTCATATGAGCCATGGCCCAAGCATCAATCATATGGGGCAAGCTATTTGAACCCGGTTTGTTTGTGACTTAACTCGGATCTCCGAGCGAGTCAAAGTTAGTAACTCAATCCTTCAGCCGCTGTCGGGTCCTGTGTTCGACGCTGTCGTGGATTTCGGACAAAAGCCGGCTGCAGAAGAAGAACAACTCAGAGTTTCCAAAACAACGAAAATGGAAGAACTCAAGCTTAATCAAACAATCCGTTGCATTGTCAAACTCGGTCTCTATCTCTCTGAACATAAAGTTTTCAACCTTAACAAGAGCATAACTCCCGTATTCTTGTTTCATTTTCATACTACTGATGCAAAAGTTTCCTTTTTGCTTTCTCTCCTTTAAAATTGGATTTTTGGGTGTTAAACAGGAGGTGCAGCAATCACTTGTAAGAACGAGTTAGAGAAGATCAACGAAGAGAATCTTGAAACAGTTTCATTCCAGTTGAGGCAAGCAATGATTTCGGATTCTTGTTCCAGGAAAGTTATTGGGATGGATTGGAGTAAGAGAGCTGGAGTTTCCGATATTTCTTCTAGTTTAAGTGATTTTGGTGATCTGGGTCAGCTCAACGTGGATCTTAGCAGATTCATTGTTGTGCATGGAGCAGGTGAGCTTTTTGATAGCTTTATGTTTTGATTCATGGGATTTTTTCAGTTGGGTTGTTGTCATAATTGGTTAACAAGCAATGAAATCATTTCCTTTTTGAATGTTTTAAGAGTTGTTATTGGATTTACCGTGGTTGAGCTTTGAAGTGATCTAGAGTTCGTGACTTAATTTCATTTCAAAGATGGGATTTTTATTGATGGTTCAGCTCTTACTTTTTTATGTAATTATGTTGATTGTAGGTTCTTTTGGGCATTTTCAGGCTAGCAAATCTGGGGTTCACAGAGGAGGATTGGAGCAACCTCTAGTCAAGGCTGGTTTTGTTGCAACACGCATTTCTGTAAGATACACTGTTATTTCCCTCGAAATCTTGATGTTATTGGCTTTCTTTAGTTTTAATTGAGTATAAAACACCTTTCTATTGGAGTTGTTTTGATTTCTTAATCATGCTTTCTGCGTTTCATCTATTCCTGTTGTCATTGTCCTGTTTCAGATTTTTCAGGAACATAAACCTTTTTTCTCTTCCCATAGTTATTTTTCCTTGTGGTTCTTTTCCAGGTGACAACCCTTAATCTTGAAATTGTCAGAGCACTAGCTAGAGGTACTGATCTAGTTACCACAACACATCTGCTTTAAAAGCTTGGTACAATGTCCCCCTATGTATGTTTTGCAAATGTTTTTCTATGGTTATGTTAAGTCTGACAGCTATTGCTGATTAAGCTTAACCTTCTTAATCATCTCTAATTTGCTCGACAGGTCTAACAAAACCTAACAATGCTTTCAAATTTACATATATATTTTACTGGTCACATGTAATGTCACATTTTATATTAAGAACACCAAAATTCTCAGGAAAGAGAGACATGTAAATTTCTTAAAGTTATTATTTGTGATTGTGCGGCTTCTGTTGAATACGAGAATGATCATCATAGAGATATGACAGACCACAAGGCTTCACAAATTTAGACTAAGAATACTATACTTGTATTAAGTTGTTTTACAAATTCATATACCATAATTTTTCACATTGTTAGTTTTTGTATTATGCTTCTTGCTCCATCATCCTAGATATAATAAAAATGCCTTTTGCACCTTAACATATTGGGGATCAGCTTTGGTGAGCCTGTCATTGAATAATTGCAGTTATTTGTTTTTCCAGTCTCATTTTTCTGCCCTCTGTTTCTCTGAACATGCAACATATCAGTAAACAAAGTTTGTGCTTATCTTGCAGTGGGTATTCCTTCTATCGGAATGCCTCCATATGCATGTGGATGGTCAACTTCTGAAAGAAACGTTAGTAACATCCATAAATAGTTGTTAGATTTTAAATCAGCTTCTTTGGAGTCTATTTCCCCTTTCCTTTATATTTCTTCTTAGTGGAATCATTTTTTTATAAGCTTTGACCCCTATGCTTCTTCAGGTAGCTTCTGCTGATTTGTCTGGGGTGGCCAAAGCAATTGACTCAGGCTTTATCCCTGTAAGTTTGTTTCAAATTCTACAAACTTGTGATGGTATTTTCATTTAGAAGGAAGCATCTACAAGGCTCTTTCAAGCTTAAAGGTTCTTATATCTATAATTTTCTTTTTATTTCAATTTTGTGGATCAGAAATCAGTTTTAGTAGCGTTTGCATATGAATGCAAGCATGTCCATGAACATTTACTTTGTTTTCCCAATAGAATGTTATATAGACATTGCAGAAATTGCAAATCACAATGTTGTGATTCAAAGTGTATCCTCTGGCATAGTAAGAAGATTTTCTTCTAACAACATAAGGAGAAAAAAGTATAAAAGTTTTGGAGTTAAACAATGTCAAATGCCTTTTTCTACCTCCCTCACCCCCCAATACTTTTTGTTCCAACTGCTGGCCCTTCTTAACCTTACAGATTAAAAGGGGTTGTGGCAATGGTTTAAGATCACTGGTTCCAATAATCCTTTTCCAGAAACCTACTGCTCTACAATAGGACTGGCTATGCCCTGGTAACAGACTTCAGCTTGATAGCAGAGCAGCATCTATCTGATTATATCCTGGTTAGAGTTTCCTAGACATTGTCTAATATGGTATTCATTATTAATCTGTTACATGCTTTCTAGGTTTTACATGGAGATGCGGTACTTGATGATGTGCTGGTATGATCACTCTAAGCCATATCCAAATATCATTTTGTTATGCTCGTATTCCAAAACCTATCTAATTAGTACTTGTTTAATCAGGGATGCACTATTTTGAGTGGAGATGTTATAATTCGGCATCTTGCAGAGCACCTGAAGCCCGAATATGTTGTCTTTCTTGTATCCTTTGGAATTCCAATGCCTTTTTTCCCTGTTATGGATGTAAAACATTGTTTGCTTGTTTTCCATTTAGCATGGAATAAAGACAGATGTTCTGGGTGTTTATGACCGCCCACCAACAGATGAAAACGCAGTTCTCCTGAGAGAAATCGGTGAGCCCTTGCTATTAACTGCAGATATGATGACTTTTATAAATCTGGATGGGCTTGACAGAATTCTTGTCTCTAACAGCCGTGGATGAAGATGAGAGGTGGTCTGTTGTGAAACCAACACTTCAAAGCATGAATACGCAAGGTACATATGTGTCTCATCTTCAGGTTTGTTTGGAGAGCTTTCTACCCTAATATGGTTCAAGCCCCAGAGTAAACATTTTGAATTGTGGAAACAGTTAAAACAACTGCAGCAGCCCATGACACAACTGGGGGAATGGAGACCAAAATATCGGAAGCAGCAATGATTGCAAAACTTGGAATCGATGTCTACATTGTTAAGGTAAAATGGTCAAGTCCCTCTCAATGCTTTTTCTCAACCATCGAGTTCATTTCCATGTTTTTTGCCAAACTTTCCAGGCCGCCACAGGCCACTCGTTGAGAGCCTTGAGTGGGGAACTGATACGTGACATACCCGAAGACTGGCGTGGGACGGTTATTCGTCTCTCGAGAGAATAAATGTTGAAATTGATGTGGACATTCCTTATTGACTTTGCCCCTTAATTGGAGCATATGACTGGTACAATGCACCTGATTGTTGGAAATGTTTGACAAGTCTCCGGACTCAATTTTGTAATCCAATGTAAGCAAACTAATAAACATAATTTTTCCTGTTAATATTCTAAGCTGTAGTGCCATCATTGCTTCCCCCGCTGGAGCAAATCTCAATAAGTATCATATTGCAGCTTTGGGCAAAACAGGATCACTACCCTGAGTCCTGCATTTGCTGGGTAAGGAAATTGAAATGCAATGAGTCTGCCCATTCACCAAAGCAATTCACGGCTGTTTTTAACTTTGAAGCAACAATTTAAAGTAGTAAATGAAATTAGATTGGAGGCAACAATTTAGATTTTTTCCCAAACCAGTAACATTGCAAATGCAAATGAAACCATAAACAAGAAAGAGAACAAATTCGGGTATCAGACAGTAATTGAACAACATAACAAAAATATTGTTCATAGAAGGCTAAATAATAATGGCGAAGTCATCATATATTAGCTTGGAGGCCACATCTTTATCAAGATGTTCCTGAAACATAACCTCCCACTTTTTCAAACCCATATAGAACCCTTCAGTACGAAGTAAAAACCTAGTATTTATGTCTCATTTGGATTTCAAAGACTTGGGCAAATGAGCAGTGTTGAGGATGTAGGGGCATTTTATTTGGGGCCAATGTCCTTCAAAGCACAGATCTGCTCCTCTCCCATCGCAGACATGACAGTCACAACCAGATCTTTCCCTTCAGCAAATCCATCCTTGATCTGCATGACCAAAACAAGACAACACTTTAATATCTCTGTAATGGGAATAACATCACATGCTATTGGTTTCTTCAGACCAATTGTATAGACATCAGGATAAAACCATCTTTGACAATCCAAATGAACTTAAAGAGGAATTCACTGGATTCAGGACAGCAAAAAGACACAAACCAGACATCATTTAACATGCAGGCTAACCTGTGTAAGCAGATTCTCATCGGTTGGAAGCCTGAGATCATCCTTGGTGTTACCATTCTCAGTCAGCAGACTCACCTGAAACATTAATAACAATCGAAAACATCATCCAAAGCCATCAAACTTAAAAACCCAATCAAACAAAGCCAAAAGCAGGATCTTACAAATCCATCCTCGGAGATATCAATCAGCTGGTAATCAGTACGGTTGACATGAGGAACCTGCAATAGCAATAAACATCATCATTAGCCTCCGAAAACTACAACATAACACGGTAATAACGGCAGTAAAACTATAGAAAGAGATAGAGACAATATACATCACAGTTGTGAGAGGAGGGAACGATATCTTCGAGCTTCTTGGCAGTGAAGATATCGATTCCAACAAAGTGACACTTCGCATGACCGTGCTTGCCAGTCTTGGAAGTTGAAACTTCGACAACCTGTAAAAACATTCATAAGAAAAATCCCTAGATTATGAACAAGATATACAAAAAAGATAAAAATAAAACAAGAACTTCAACAACAAGCCCCGGATCAGATATTAATTTAGCTGAACAGTAATTAGAGATCAAAGCTTAATAACTCGCAAACGAATTCGGAGATCTAAGGATTATACATAAAAATTTTGAATAGATACACAGAAGAAAAAATCTGTAAGACCTAAAATTAAAAAATTTTACAGATCACTAAGAGAAAAAAGGAGCATAGAATAGGTAAATTTTTGAAAAAAAAAATAGATCAAAAATAGGAAAACCCTAACCTTGCAAGGACGGTTTTTGATGACAATGTAACCGTTCTTACGGATGGTACCGGCCTGCTGAGGATAAGTCTTCGAAGCTCCGGCGTCGGCCTTCGACTCGAAGTGGTGCTCCTCGTCCGACATGACGACGCTCAAGAAATAAAAATCCAAAAGCTTTGGGGAAAGCGAGAGAGAGAGAGAGAGGAGCACAACTTCGAAGAGGAAAATTGGAATGAGAAAAACGAGTAAGAGTGAGGAGAGAGAGACAAAGCTTATATAGCGGTGGAAATTTATAGAAAGTAGGGTTTTATTTATCCTTTTTCATTTTTTTTAATTTTCTCACGTGGCAAACTCTGATCAAACACGTGGATGGTGCTTGGGCCGTCCGATCGTGGGCAGTGTAAATCGGATTGGAAAAATATCTTTCGAAGTTGCGTGCGACGGACGCTGAGCTTGAGATGTTTGCACGTGGGCTGCTTTGGGCCCAGTCACGATTCAATTGGATATTTTTGCATCCCATCCATATTTTAAAAATAAAAAATTTGATAGGTTGCTTTAATTATATTAAATGCAAAATGTTCAAAATTCATTTGTCACCATAGGTAGTACCAAGACATTTAAATTTATAATCACTTACTACGGAGATGACTATTATATGTGACAGATTATATTATTATTAATTAAAGTATTGAACTACCCAGGCTAGCTTTCTATTTGTCAGTTCGCCCATTACTAATTAAATAAATGATCATATTAAATTTTTTTTTGGGATTTAAAAATATTTTAATAACGAAATAAATTTTAAGTTAAGTGAAATTAACAATATAACAGAACTTATTAACAGAAAGTTAATTAAAAAAAACCATAGGACACTACATGAAAAAAATGAAAACCATATAAAATGTAAATAAAATTTATCCTTTTTACAATATCATAAAATTCATTAAATTGAATGTCAATTAGTACATTTCTAATTAAATAACACTGTTAGGTGACTTCTTTATCATAGTCCTTTTTCTTTAATATTGAAAATTAACGTTTCTTCTCTAAAGACAACTGACTAATTAAATAAGCGATAGAAATTTTATACTCTACTGGTCGGCATGAGCATATAAAAAGTAATGGCGATGTTTGACCAACAGAAAAAAACCACGATTGCTCCCACGATGACTTTTTTTTTTTAGCTTAAAAGGGCCAAAAGAGTAATGAGACTATTTTTTTTTTAGCAAAATAAAATGAAACTTTTAAGTATTTGATTCTTATATTTATTTTTAATTATTATTATCTGCTTCTAATCATTGCATTTTACTTTCTTTCTAAGCCAAAAGCAACAAACTCTTCACCGAAAAGAAGACTCCTTTTGTTCTCTCATTTCTCCACTACAGAACGCTACTCGACTAGGTATAACAGGGTTCAAGGGTTTTGTCTTGCATTAATTAATTGAAACCGACAGATTTTATTTCTGTTAACTGAATTTTTAAGACGAACTTCTACACTAAAATTAATTAATAAATAATAAAATTTTGATTATATTTAAATTTTCAACATCTTAATATAATTAACATAAAATTTCTTCTATCACTAACTTCATACTCTCCTCGGGTATAAATATAAGAGACACATGGATTCGACACCGTTTCAGTTATACCTAGTGCAGTTAGCAATAAGCAACTCATAATACCAGACAGTGCATATGCATATGCAAAACAAAGATTAAGCAAAAATTTGGTAAGAAATTCAGACAAAAAAAACAAAAGAAAAATTTGTTAAGAACCTGAACCCACACGTCTTGATCCCTTAAGTCCAAGCAGCAAAACCGGTTTGAATTTACCACAACTGGGGAAGCAAATTCAGACAGGATGCTTATTAAACTGCCGAGAAACTTATCAAGCTGATATCAATCCATTAATGGAGATCTACAGCAACCAACTTACAGGCTATAGTATTCATTGTCTTCCATATATGTGGCAAAAGGAAAGAACAAGAGAAAACGACAAACCCTTACAGCATCAGCAATAGCTAGTAGTTCAACAAGCAATAACCTATTATACTGGTAGGAAGAAACACAGTTACGACGAATATTACATAAATTAGCTAGCGAAGATGTTAAGTACAATTTTCTTTCAAGAAAGGACAAGATGTTAAGTACAAAGATGTTAGAGCTTTGTGCTTACTCCTCTTGTGTTGTCGATTAGTAATTTAGTATCCCAGAGACATGATGCTCTCAAGATCATAGCAGATGCAAGAATTTATTGAAACTAGAGGAAAATACCATCAAGCTAGGACGTTCTTACATAGGGAGGGTGATGGAAATCCTTTAGCTGCTGATTTATTGTGCGCCTAAGTTTTTAGAGTCTGGTTCGGATACGGGAAACAATTCATCTGGGCAAAAATCTGCCATTGTTTGGAAGATTCATAAGCAAAGGGGTAACAAAAGTAAATGTAACATGCAATGATTTAATACGCTTGAAGATCTTGTTATCTTGATCAGACAGCATAGACTTATTTGCAAATTAGTAATCTACAAATCCTCTTCTCAGAGACAAATATGACATGCGTTGCAGCATCCTGGCCTTGGATGCATTGACACAGTTAAATCAGCATCTTCTGAATAAGAGAGAAGAAAGTTATACATACAAGATTGTGTAAATGTGGGTCATTTCTGTAATTGCCAAGCACATTTGTACAGTCATTCCCTACTTGAATTTCCAGCAGAAACTGATCTGATATAGCTGTCATCCATTTTATGTAGAGATATATGAGGGGGCTTTTCTCTGTCACAGGCAAAGTGTCCATGAACAAATTAATAACTGTTGACGAGACCTACTACCACTGGATTTTCATAATTAGAGTTATCAAATCATGTCACCATGATATATGACAATGAAACTCTCTAAAGCTTGATGGAAAAATATAAATTGGGAATAGAGGCAGCATATCTTCTAGGACTCTTACTGTCAAACATTCTGAAGTCTCAGGAAAAAACCATAATGGCATCTATCAGCTAATTCAATGCAGTAGGCAGATTATGGACGCCAGGACATGCATGGTAATAAGCCAGCCTCGCAAGCACAAGACACCATCAAGCAGAAGTGGTAGATATAAGAAAAATTCAAACTTTTATTGCACCATATGGTTCTCACCCTTCTTTAATATATGGTTCTTTTGCTATTCTCTTACAGTGTACAACTCTTACAGACCTCGACAACACGTGTTTTTCTTCCATAAGTGCACAATGATTCTTCATAGATGCATGCAAAAAGTTTTAAGCAATGTAAAAGCCTCGAATATGACAACAGTTTGAAGGTGATTCTGAGGCAGTTTTCAAATTGATAAAGATCATAATAGCATGAAAAAATAATAAAAGTACAAGAAATGAAAGAAAGACTAACATTTCAATGGCTTCTTGGTAAGTATAGCTTGATGCAACAGCCAAAAGTTGTCCTTCATGGTTGTATGATAGGGATGCAACACTGTTTGAGCATCTAGGCAACTGTAAGCAAGGGAAAACAGGAAAAAAAATGTTAACTGGATAGAGAAGCAATTAGTATCAGCATGTTAGCAGGTATACAAACATTTTTCTATTGGAAACAGTTGCGGACCATGTATGAAGGAGAAAGTCCAAGCCCAGAGGGGACTCCTTCAAATATCTTCTTGTTTATCCCAGTAATTGGAGACATGATGCTGTTTAACTTTTAAAAGAGAATGTTGCTGCGAAGGTTGTTCACAGTGAAATGTCTGAATGATTTCGAACCAGAGAAGCAAATCAACATAGTACTACCCCTATTATAACAATAGTCATCTTGTTTTTTGTTCTTTCTTTTCTAAAGAAAAAAAAAATCGGCTGGACCAAAATATTAGAATGAAATGTTAATAATGCAAATAAAGTCAACCTCAGAATTTTCCTGGAATTGTTATTCACTATACTCTAATGGAAGCCTTTAAAACTAGTTATCTTAGCATGTGCCTTCTAAAAACATCCATTTAATTTGTGGGCTGTCTTGCTAATTCAGAAAAAATATTATTAGTTGTGTAAGCTTATTTTTTCAAAACTAAAACGACTGGTTTAATAGACTGAGGTATCATAAGATGCACCAGCACAAAATGGGGAAAAAAACAATTAAGATTACCTCAAACAATCTTCTTCTACTTTTAGCATCCCATGCAGTAATATAACCCTCATTATCACCCGTAACAAAAGCACCTGAGATGCTAAACCAAAAAGGTAACAAATAAATGCCAGTGTGCAACAATTTCCATAATCCATGAGGCCACTTATTAAAGAACACATACAATGGGTTAAATGCAATGTCATTCACTGGCACTAGATGGTGTCTTCCATCTCTTGATTTTGGATGACATCGGAAGACATATCTGCATAAGAAATGAAAAGATGTAAGCCATTTTTCCAAAGTTATGCCAAAGGATAAAAAAGGCTAGTAAACAATATGCTTTTCTGCTTAGGACTAGATGAAAATTAAAATTTAAGTTATTAACATGTATAAATGGAATGAAATTTGTAGTTGATGCAGACCATGTTTTTCAATGTTCAACTGCTACAATGATCTAAAATTCTACAATAACTGACCCCATGTTGTTTGAATTGGACGGATATGAGATCTCTAATTTTACTCGGCCGTCTACTGATCCAACTGCATATCCTGCATGGACATGTAATCTTCTTTAAGGGCATTATAAGAAAGTTGAAGCCATCTACAGAAGTTGCTATCTTGAAGATTACAAATTTCTCAGAAGGCTGTGCTTAAAATCCATCACGTTCATTCATGTGATATTCACTGCTTAGTTATAGACCATTCATCAGCCATACCCTTCAGGCATAACAGAAGAACTAAATTACTTATAAAGCTAACAAAATAAAGAAACAATACCTTTAGAATAAGGAATTGAGCAGACACATCGTATTTGAACATCCATACAAGATTCATTTGATTGAACTAATCTCTCTAAATTGCGTAAGTCATAAATATCTACTGATGATCCAACAGCTACTGTTAATTCAAATCCAGAGAGTGACATGGACTCCACTTCTGCACCTAGATTTTTCAAGAATGCTAGTGGTTTTGCTCTGCACATGTCCCAGGCTATCACCTTCTTATCAAAACCTGTAGTAATCACTTGACCTGAAATAATAGAATAAGGAGTTGAACTTCTCCTACTAGAGCGAAATGAAAACATTGGGATAGTATATCTAAGGTTGTATAAAAGGCTTTTTGGATGTTCATCAGAATAAATCTTGCAATTTGAAAAGTGTCTTCACAGCACATCCAATTGTGAGCACAAAACATTGTGCATTTATTTGAAACAATATAATTACAAAGAGTTTCTGAGAATAGTATTGTTAACATTTTTTACAAAATAGGTGCATCTTTATAGAGGTATTCATAACAAAAACTAACAGCAGGAATTTGAAAAGCCTTTTCTTTAGAAACCAAATTATTTCTCAGCTAAAACTTCTCTATCACTGCCTGTAGAAAAACACAGTTTATGTAATTGTTTGTACTTAAGTTGAGGTCAACTTGATGCACAAATGTTATGGGCTTCAAAGGATAACAGAGAGGTTTAAATTGCTGACAAATTGCCCTTAATTGAAATAACTTCTGCGCAGATGTTAATAGGCTTGTAGAAGGGTTAAGATAATGCCACAACATATAGTTTCCTAGGTAGATGAATTACAACAAAATTCAATTACAAAATGTAATCATCATTACTTGTTCACAGATTATGGCCTTAGATGTACATAGTAACAATCAGGTTTCTATTGCCCAAAGTAGATGCATTAGTTGATTTAAACAGGAAAAGGACAAGCTGCAGGACATAAAAATGAGAGAAAGTCTCTTGGTGTATGAGTTCCATATATGCAAAGTTACTTAAATCGAGCTACGTTTATTGTAATATAGTTGCTATACTCTATCCCTGTATCTTAATGTAGACATTGAAACAAAAGTTCTGAAGTTGCAATTAGAAACTTAAATACAACCAAAATGACAGTGGAAATGAGGTAGGTAACTTACGTGTTTCATTAGAATATTCTACACATGTTGCTACATCATCATGATTTCCAATTCTATTACTGATTCCTGAATGCAAGTCATACCTAGAGAAAAAACATTTACAAAAGCAGTCAACATGTATTGCTTGATTGTCTCAACTATTACATCCAAAGTGCAAGGCAGTTCAGTACTTATAAAATAAAACTTTTTCACTGATGAAGTATAGATACTCCACCTTTTAGGAATATGGTATAAATTCAAAGCTAATATTCTTTTCAGGAAATCTAATTACGTAGAGCCATAATAATTAAAAATCTAACTTGCTCCTGAAATTAAATTACAATAAAAATTCATGTTTGTTGCAACATACCTAATTCAGAGAATAAAACCATTATGACACATTGGATGTGCGTTACAATGAGACTAATATGAAGCAAAATTCCACTCAAATAAGCTTCACTTTAGTCACTTTGCTGTAACTTATCTAATCGTAACCGGTTAGTAACTGTTATTGACTCAATGTAGTAGCAGAAAACTATAGTTAAAGAAGAAACTAATCGAATGAAAGCTTAAATTAAAATTCGAAATTCATTCAAGCAATTTAAAGGAAAAACCGTGTAATAGAGCCATCAGAGCCAGCGCTGAACACAACAGATTCCTCCTGGAAGCAACAGTCGAGAAGTGCAGCCTCGGATGGAGCTTCTAATCTGAGCTGAGAACACTCCACATCGTACAATCGAAGACTCTGCACATCGAAAGAATCAAAATCAACTGCGAGTAATTGCAACTCAAACAAAAATAGAAATAATTAAAATAAAAAAAACATCTGAGAAGATTACTAACGGAGTCCCAAGAAGAAATGAGGAGGTTGTTGGACTGCGGCGAGAATCGGATCCTAGAAATCGCGTCTCGGATCGGGATCTCGAACTCCAAACAAGTTCCGTTCATTTCAAATGTTTTCAAGGAGAGTTTCAATTCATGAAAAGCAAGTGTTAATAAACTCGTGTAAGCGAAATTATCTCGAATTCTTCAACAGCTGATCCTAACTTAAAGGTTTCTTCGGGGACTCTCAGATGGGAACCAGATGCAGAAAAGGAAGCCCTAACCTGGAGGTGAGGGCAGGAGCTGTGAAGGCTGAAATTTTCGAAATTTCCCGCTCGGGGCAGTTTCAGGTAAATTTAAATTATATAACGAATTTACGAAACTATCCATATCTGTTTAGTTCCTCTAAAGTCAAAAGCCAGAATTTTATTTTTAGCGTGTTTATCATTTTTTGTTAATTAAGACAAGTTTTATACAGCAATCATAATATATTTGAAAGTATTAGAGTGATTAGTAATTTTTACTTTTATTATGAATTTATAAAGGTATATTCTTTAAAAATTAAAAAAACTCAAAAATCATTTTAAAAAATCAAATAAAGTTTTATTTTTTTATTCATTTAAATCCTTATTCTTTTATATTTTAAGTTAAATAAATCTTTCTTTCAACAATTGACTAGTTACAGTTAATCACAATAATCACTTATCATTTTATAATTATGTGATGTTAACGTGACACTAACTTAAAAGATAAAAATATTATATGATTATATTATTATATCACATATATATATATAATACATTAATATATTATATCAATATCACAAGATATAAAATGATAAATGATGTTTTGATTAACGATAATTAATTAATTATTAATTATAAAAATTTATTTAATTTAATATAAAATATAAAAATTTAATTAAATGTAATAAAAAATAAAAATTATTTTAAATTTTTTGAACTGTTTAAGAGTTTTTTTAATTATTATATCATTCATAAATTACTATCATTAAGTGGTTTAAAAGTAATTTAAGTTAGTTTATGAATAGAATTCATTGTTGAACAGAGTTCTTTAATTAATTTAAAAAATACTAGAAAAATCAAGCAGGTTTATCTTTCGCTAATTTGAACAGAAAGATACATATGCTTATCATTGAATTAAATACATAAATTCAATTACTCAATATTTTTTTTTGAGCAAAGTACTTAGGTTCAAATAACTGAATATATTTCTCGCAAATGGACCACCATTATCAAGCTTAAGAATCAGCACTTAATGGAAAAAAAAAAGATGATTGTTGCCGCTTAACCATTGAAATTTAAGTGACATAAACATAATGCAACACAAGTTGATTGACAGATTCAGCAAACTGAGGTCTCATGAAGCCAATCATCAAATCAAATAACAGATTGAAAGAAGAGCAAAAGAGAAAATCACCTTACTGAAAATTCATATATACAAATAAAGTGTAAAGTTGCATTGCCACCTAAAGACCCAAACATCTAAAAACTAGAAAGAAAAATTCAGATACTAGCCAAACTCAAATGTTTTAATTCTAAGCCCGGGAATCGGGGTTTTATTCATCCGGTACGTAGAAATCGAACCTGACATCAACAGAACCAGACCGTTCCCCAGTATCTTTGTACTCGATGTTTGTGATTGTTCCAGCTTCATCTGCAACTTGATATTCTGCCTTCACCCGCCGGACAGGAACTGTGACAGAGTAAATAGTCCCCAGATCAGAATCAGTAGAGACACTAAGCTGAACCTTGTCCTTTGACTCTATCTCCACAAAATCTGACAGAGCACGCACAATGTTTTTAACAATTTTCTGTTTCGCCTCATCGCTAACTGCACATCGGTCGGAGAACAGAATCATCTTCAAGCGCTGCTTAGCTATATTTGCATTCGAGCTCCTTTTAGATGCTGGAGATGGGAAAACTATTTTCCAAGCCAAGTTTAGTCGCTCAAAGAAGCTCATGTTTATGGCATTTAAGAGGAAGCTCTCAACCTCATGGTTTACAGCATTTGGAGATAACTTAAAATCTCCCATGACCCCAGCTAATCTTTTAGTTTGACCACGAATGTCTCGGCTATTTATTGTGATTCCATTCCATTTCGGGCTAATTTCGGAAAAACTTGATCCTCCATTCATGGAACCCATGAAATCTACCTATAAGCAGAGCACAAAAATTAAAATATGAGCATGCATTTGCATTTCTTCTAAATCCTCCATCCATAATAAAGTCCACTTGACAAATCCTTCTGCTTCTAACAAATGAAGGTCTTCATTCTGACAGACAAAATGGTCTATTCAAAAAATGAAGATTACAGGACACGACATGACATCTAATATGACTAAAATAAAAAGAATGGAGCATTTGGCTTCATACAAAAAATTGCATTTCTGCGCTTATCTATAGCATTTCAAGGTACCAAGTCTGTTTATTCGTGCTTAGCACATCAATTAACTGCTAGCACTGGATGGTGCTCTGCTCAAAACAATGAACCTTTTTGTCAGACAAGTGATAAATTAAACAGATACCCAATCGCAATGCAAAAATGTTCCCTCAACAACAAAGGCCACTAATAAAGCATCACCAGCCACAAAAAAGAACCATACCATCTAGACTCAAGCAAAGTCAAGAATTACACTATTGGTTTGAAATGATAACCTGGAATACAAAAATCAATGAGAAAATCAACATGACTACTACTGCCACCATAATGGTTAAATGAAAAATTTTCAATAGATTTTCCACACGGTGCTACCAAACACTAGTAATTTTACCACATACTCCACATTAATAGAAATACTATTCAGGCATCAGTTGCAGCTGCTTATTACAGTCAATGCAACTCCCACAAGAGTATGGCTAGATCCAAACACTATCCCATTACCTCCATAAGCAGCAGCCACTGTCACCCTACATATAATCTTACTACTCATGGCAATACATCTTCCTTTAGTCCCTAATCACCATTTACCATTGCTGATTTTCATTACCTAATGAGTTTATTGTCATGGGTAGGACAAAGCATGGCATTGACTTGCTTGGAACACCAAACTCATCAAGCTTGGATCTTCCAGTTTCAACATCATCTATGACTAACAATACCTTCTCATATAGAAGGGAGAAGGGTGTCAATGTTTTTGTTTCATTGGGGGTGCAGGAAGGAAGATAAGGATGATAAAAATCTGCCAATAGCACTCACTTACTAATATACCAAGTATCAAATTGGATATAAGAATTCTGAATTCCCAATCCTTATCAACAATATGAAAACAAGTGCATGGAAAATGACCTTGACTAGAAACCGTTGGATAACTAGAAACAGTTGAATTATTACTCTAGAGCTTTAGGTTCCTAAAATCAGCAGGAAATATTCTCAGGATAACCTAGCTTGCAATTTGATGCCCTAGTCATGCTTATATTTGGCTCTACTTGCAATACACTACAAGTATAATTACCTAAAATTAAAAGGGAAACAGGATTTCACCATTCTTAATAGGGGACGGAAACAAGATCAACCCATGGTCATGACCATTGATTGAAAGAAGACAAGACCAACAAGAACATGTATGTATTTGACTTTGATGAAGTGCAAATTTTCGATAAAAAGTAGAAACTTGCAAAGCAAACTGCACACAAAATTGAAGCTTACAAACCCAAGGAGGACAAAGCTTAAAATAGTTAGATAAAAGGACAGATACTAAAACCCAGAAAACATTTTGCCGAAATTGAAAAAATGGAGCACTGGTAAGGGTTTATAGGGCTACATGTTGCTGCAGCTGCTGCTGCAAAAACTAGGAAAACCCAATTAGCTCGTTCTCCATTTGGTTGGAAAAGAGCAGCTAAAAACTTGGAATTCAAACGATTCAGAATATCATCTCCAACTCTAACCCTCAAATAGACACTGAAACCTTATTCGGCAACCGACCACAAAATTGAGCAAATCTATGATAAATTACACAAATATTTCAAGTCAATGCAGAGAAAGTTAGCAGAAATGTCGTTATAGAGGTAAGACAACTGGGATTGAAGGATAAGGACCTTTGAAGAGGGGATGGAGCTTCGAAAAGGGTGGTGTTGATGGTAAGAGGCGAGGGTAGCAGCGACCCTTAAATTCCCGGATATCGCCATTTCGCAGTCTGCTTAGAATTGCCCTTTCTCTCTCACGGAAACCTGCGGCTCTTTTGCTCACCGCAGCTTTCACACTTCAGACTCTCTTTAGTGTTTCAGGCGGCTCGGGAGCAACACCAGTACCGAGTCCATTGGCAACTCCCATGGGAGAAATGTGGCCGTTAAAAACGACATCGTTTTTGTGGAACTCCTTGATTTTACTCCCTAAGTACATTATTAATTGTTTAATTGTTTTTGCATTTCTGGGCCTTTTTACCTAGAATTGGGCCTGATGGTGGCTTTCGGGCTTCAGGCCTAATTAAACAAAATTTCCTTTTATTTTCTTGTCCTTTTTATTTTTTAAGAAAAAAAAAGGAAATCAAAACTTCAGCTCTCCTTTTCGCGGAAACCGCAGAAGCTGGGAACAACGCGAAGCAAACTTGAAAGAAACGAATTAGAGAGATACATAGCAATAACAATGTTAGATTTACATTATTGACTCTAAAACAAACAAGGAGGACTTGAACAGATTCAGCCTTTCCCAAAGCAAATCAAAATCATCAATCGTGTGTAGTTCCCCGAAACACTGAAACGGAGTAAGTAACAAGCTGCAAAAAACAAAGTAATTCTAAAGGCATTACACTGTGATGAACCTAGAGCAATCCATCTGACTTTATTTAAACAAGCTGAGAAATACTCCATGCGGGCATCACTCGTTATGTTCCGAGTTCTGCTGGCCGCGTGTGAGTCCAAGCTCAACGTCGTCTTGCAGAGGAACTGAGGTTGAACCTTCTTCGTTCTGGGTGATGGTGATGAAATAAGTGGGAACTGATTGAAGGGCGCGCGAAAACCACCCGAGAAAGCGTTTAAAAAGATGAAAGAACATGCCGTGCCAGGGAGAAAAGAAGACAACAAGTAAATAAACAGGCCAGAAGAGCGAAGGTGGAAAGAAGAGTGAGGCTATAAGTGATATGGTCAAGGCGATAGAGAAACCTCCAGCGCTAAGGCGGAAGCGAATGGGGTGGAGGATTAGAGGGACTTCAGCCGAGGTGAAGAGGAAAAGTAGTACAAACATCAGGGCCAGAAGCAGGAATGGCAACTCCAGAAATGAAAATTGGTAGAGCAAGATTGAGGAAATAATGAGATTCCAATCCCACATCCCTGAGCCTGGTTGGGTGCTGAAGAACAAAAGGACGATCAAATTTATTACAGGGGGGACACTGTACCTCAAATCCATAATTTTTTTATTTTTTTGCCGCGAGAGGAGATTGAAGTCAATAATAGATTTTCTAGGTGGGAAAAATAGAGGTTACTTTGCCCGCCAATGGAATATTGACCTTGTGACAAAGCTGCGAAGGGAATTTTTTATTTTTTTTTTTGCAAAGGAGAACATTCGTTAAGAGAAGCCGGGGAAAGCAAGCAAAGGAGAACATTCGTTAAGAAAAGCGGGGGAAAGGCAAGCAAACGAGAACATTCATTAAGAATATCGGGGAAAAGCAAGCAAAGGAGAACATTCATTAAGAGAAGCGAGGAAAAGCAAGCAAAGGATTTACCAACTGTTAATATTGATAAATGTTGACAGCATATTATTGTTAATCATATGTAATTATATAAGTATAATTTATGACAAAATTATCCAATTATTAATATATATGTGGTTAATATATTTAAATAACAAAGTTATTAAATTATTACTTAAGTTTAAACATTATGAATATCATATTATAAGGAATATAATTACTATTATATATATTGCAAAGTTTTATAGTTAATATAATAATATAGCAACAAATTTTACATGTATTAAATATAGTAGGTATTTTCATTTCTAAATTTATAATATATATAATATGGTTTTGTATTAAAATCAGGAAATATATAATTACAAGTTATATATTTTAAATGATATAAATTATATATGTTAATATTGATATATAGTTATTAGATATCTTACATATTAAAAAGTTATAATTATTATACTTATGTAGTAATATTTCATAACATAAAATATTATGAATAACTGTATAATTGTATATCTGTTAATTATAATATACACAGTTTAATTTATACATATTTTCTTCTAGTCACTTTATGTCACTTGAGTCAAAGGGACTTAGAGAATATTCATAAATGTCAAAGGAACGATTTGAGTCAAAGGGATTTAGAGAAAATTATTTTACTAATTTTAAGTTTTACTAATTTTACCAACTATTCATTTTGATAAATATTGACAATATATTATTGTTAATCATATGTAATTGTATGAGCATAATTTATGACAAAATTATCAAATTATTAATTGATATGTCATTAATATATATTTACATAGCAAAGTTTTTAAATTATTAGTTAAGTTTAAACATTATGAATATCATATTATAAGGAATATAATTACTATTAAACATATATATATAACACCAAATTTTATGATTAATATAATAATATAACAATTTGTTATATTGTTAGACCTTTGTCATTTCTGTATGATTGGAAGGGCGACCGACTGAATGTGTTTGAGATTTTTTATGACCACTTCATCTATTGTTGTCTCGTTCTTGATATATTGCACTATTTGCAAATATTCAAGATTCAGGATAAGGATTTTTCTCTCTTTCAAAAAAAAATAATAATATATGATTATTAAATATTGTACAAATTAAAAAAATTATAATTATTATATCTATGTAGTAATGTTTCACAATTTAAGTTTCAAGTTCCATTTCCAGGAGTTGGGTTCGGGGTTAAGAAAAACAAAAATCAAATTCTAGAAGAATTTATAAAATATTTAACTCATTGATTAAATAAATAAATAAATAAATGTCGAGTTAGAACCGTGTGTTATGGGACCCATAAATCTCACTTTTGGTATAGTTTACAACGGCTGGGCTTGGCTGAAGTTTCGGGAAGTTTTCCTTAAAGGCGATTTAGAGAAAGTTCATAAATGTCTTAAGTGTCAAATGAAGAATTCCATAACCTTTTTTTAACTTTTTGGGAAGTTTTGGCATTTATTCGTCAAATGAAGGATTCCATAACCCTTTCTGTTAGAGGCAGGATCGAACTCATGTAAGGATGGGAAATATTTAAGTTTTACCAAGTTTACCAACTATTCATTTGGATAACTACTAACAACATATTATTGTTAATCATATGTAATTGTATAAGTATAATTTATGATAAAATTACCAAATTATTAATTGATATCTTATTAATGTATTTAAATAATAAAGTTTTTAAAAAAAAGTGAAGAATAGAGATTTCAACCTTATTATTTAGATAGAGAATCATATACCAACCAAAGAGTTAAAGTTATTAAAGTATTAGTTAACTTCAAATATTATAAATATCATATCATAAGGAATATAATTACTATTATATACATATATAAAGTTTTATAATTAATATAGTAACAAATTATACATGTATTAAATATAATAGACATTTCAATTTCTGAATATATAATATAATATGATTATGTATTAAGATCATGGGTAGAATCACATTGGTAGGACTGGTGTCACATGACACCACTCACTTCTTAAAATGTTTTAATTTTTATATTATTTATCTAAGATTTAGGGTAATTAATATAATAATAAATTTATTTTTTTTTATAATTTTATAGGGAGCGGGGTCAAAGACTCCAAGTAAAAATGATTTATCAAAAAATAATTTATGTATTAATATTTAAATAAGATAAGCAAAAACAAAAAAAAATCTCTTCTATAATTTAAGATTTTACTAAAAAAATCAAAACTCAAACTTTTTTTTTGTCTAAAAACTCAAGTCGTTCCCCTTCACGATCTTTACTCTCTGAAAACAAACCATCTAGACTTCTACTGTAAGTAATTTTTAACATAAATTAAGTTATTAAATACTTAATATTTAATTTTTTTTGATTATTTTGATAATTTTGGTTCATAATTATAATGTAGCTAATAAAAATAATATTACATGTCAAATAATATCTTTAAATTGTGAGTTTATTTTATTTATTTTGTAGATATATTATTTAATTTTTATATTTAGTTTTACCTGATTTGTTGATGCTTATATTTAATTTTGATCAATAAATAGAAAATTGTTATAATGTTAATTACTGAACCTAATAATTTATAATATAAAATTATATTTTATTTAATTTTAATAATTTAATTTATACTAATAAAAAGTAATTTTTAATAAATTTTATAATTTTAGATAAATAAAACATGAAAAGATATTCAAAAGAAAAAAATTATCTTACAACACTCAACTGAATAATAATAAAATTCTACTAATGATACTCAACAATATATAAACAAAAATTTTAATTTATATAAAATATAATATATATATATATATTAATATAAATATATTTATTTTTCATAAAGTGACCATTTTCACAGTCCACTGCCCTCCGGCCCACACTCCCAACGTCGTCCCTCCGTCCTTGGCTGCTACTTCTACCAAGTGTTGGGTTGTAAAAAGAGCTCGGCGCCTACAACTGTTGAAAAATTTACCTTATTTGAACATATACGATCTGTCAACGTATCAATCTTCATCAATTCTCTTAAATACATATTAATTTATTTTTATTTGATATAAACTGGTAAGTGTATAAATATTAATATAGAAGATAAAAGATGGTGCAAATTGAAAAAATTTACTTTGACTCAATGAAAACTTTTGTATACTCTATCATTTTTTTGGAATTGTTTTAATTTTTATATAATATTTAAAAATTTAAATAAATCATTAATCTGATTTATATATTAATTATCAATTATTGATTGGTACATGATTTTATATTTTAAAAATAAAATTTAAATTCGTCAATTATAAAAATAATTTACATATTAATTGTTAACCAATTACAAACTTCCTGGATCAACTTTAAATTATTGTAAGTATAGATGTAGAAAGTGATCTACACACTCAAAGCCAATCGCATCTGGTTCGACCTGCCACTTTCATGGCAAAAGACGTAAATTCCTTGTTGTCCATTTTGAAAATAAAGGTTTTTGAGAACTTAAAACGCCATTGGACCGTGTTCAGCTCACCTGGAGGGCGAGTTGGAGAAGGAAAGAGAAGAAAAGTACTAAGCAGAAACTACCTATCAAATCCCTGCTTCAATTAAAAATCCCAAGGCAGAATCACGGCGTGCAAAGATTGAATGAAGCTTATATGTCAGTTGTGA